ATTCACAAAGATAACCTCTGTTTGATTTTTATCCAACTGAGTTTTACAAATGCGACAGAAGAGTTAATTATAAAACTTTACTTATTTCCTGTGCCAAGTAAATTAGCCTTCCTGTTCTTTGCTAAGTTCTTTCCTACGTAAATTTAAAAATGTCGCTTTATTTTGACCAGAATGAGATGCTATAATGATATTAAGATTTAGTACAGAAATATATTTATGTTTTTATGTAGTTTTATTTAATGCTTTGTTGATGAAAACTTGTTGACGTGGAGATGTGAATATTGTTATGTATACTGAAAATTATACGATTTAACTACTGGCATTGTATTTAAATACGAGTAAATACCCCCGCCACAGAAAGCCTGCAAACTAACAAAAATATATTAAATATTAAAATTACAGTTTTTTGGGAAAGATAAAGCGTAAAAAAATGATTACATTTGTTTTCAACTCCTATAACATGATTTTAAGTGGCAAACCTTTCTGATTTGGGGGGCCGAAAAAGGGAAAAAATTTTAGCCTATGAAATCCCCATTACAACTCCATTCTCATAATTTGACCATGTAGGTTTAATAATGCTTAGTAAACTTAACCAAAATTGCCAAAATAAACAAAGATTCAAGGGTAAAAATATTTAGTGTTGGAGTTTCAAAGATAAATTCTATGGGGTGTACAGGTAGATTAGAGAGGCAATGGTAGGTTATTACAGACTATATACATAGATTGTTATTACTTATATGGCTATTTCCTAGTGGAGTTATAGAAACAATTTGATCAAGCATAGGAGAGTGCAGCCTAAAATAGGTATTATCGGTTTTACATTGAATTGGCAAGGTGAAATGACATACCGGTACATAGGAAGAAGCCTTTTTCGTCGATAGGATTTTTACCTTCCCCCCTATACCATAGTACATATGGAGAAAGTATTGTTTTCGTCAAAATTTTCGAGTTTGAGTTTTGAGTGGATATATTCGTTTTGGGTCCCCCTGGACCCAAAAAAGTGGTTTTCGAAGTGATGTCTGTGTGTGTGTCTGTGTCTGGATGTGTACAGAGCTAGAGACTACACCTGTGGTCCGATTTCGATGAAATTTGGCATATAGGTTCTAATCCATGGTATCTCCAGGTGTTTTTTTCATTTTTTTGAAATTTTGATTTTTAATGGGGATTTTCCCATAAAAACCCATAAAAAACCGGAAAAATCTCATTTTCTCAAAAATAGACTAAACGATTTTGATAATAATTTAGTATGTTGTAGCCATTTAAATTCTGAACAAAGTGGTACAAATCCCATTTCTGTAAAAATTACGGTTCAAAAGTTATGTTAAATTATGTTATTTTCCCATAAAAACACATAAAATAACAAAAAATAGGATTTTAGAAAAAAATCCGGTTTTGATTTAACATAGTATGTTATGGTCCTTACAATTATGAGAGTTTTTTTTTCATTTTTTAGAATTTTTTATTTTTAATGGGGATTTTCCATAAAACCCCATAAAATAACGGAAAATTAGGATTTTCCCAAAAATGGCCCAAACGACTTTGATAAAAATGTAGTATGTTATAGTCCTTTATATTCTGAACAAAACAGCACAAATCCCATTCCTGTAAAAATTACGGTTCAAAAGTTATTGTAAATTATGTTATTTCCCCCATAAAAACCCCGTAAAATAACGGAAAATCGGATTTTCCCAAAAATGGCATGAACAATTTGGATAAAAATGTAGTATGTTATAGTCCTTAAATTCTGAACAAAATTGTACAAATCCCATTTCCGGATATGAGGTTGTTGACAAACTTATGGGAGAAAGTATGTGTCAGAATGCTGATACCGTTTATTTTACTAGTTGCTAGCCAAATACGCTTACGAGTAGACATTAAGTGGACTTTGTATCTTTTCAAAACCAAATCTATCTCTTTAATGCAAGTTTTGCCTTTTTTTGTGGATTATAGAGGGGGTTGACCAGGCAATGTGTAAAGGCAATCGTTTAGTAAAGTTGTTCGTCATGTGAGTTTTAGGATCTTACCTCTATGGTAAATAAAAAATAAAAAAACTAAGATGTGATCACTGTTAGGTGACTTTATAAACTTGTCCTCCAAAATTATTTATTAAAAACCAAAACGTTGTTCTTGCAATAAAGAAAGAATAAAAAACAATGTTATGTAACGGCCAATCCACGCTAACCCTTTTTTATTTAACTTTTCCTCTTCACAAAAGTGTCTGTCCATAAAAACTTCTCTGTGACATAACGAAACGTAACGAATATTGAATTTGTCAGTCTCGTTTCCTCTTTTACATATAAATTAAAAATATCTTTTACATTTTAATAAGTGACCCATACAAATTAAAACCTATAACTTGAAATTATAAAACTATTTGATCAGTTTAAAACTAATTTTCTCTAAACAATCTTCTAAAATATTTACCTTTTAGCAATATCTGTTAGGAAAACAAAGTCTTCAAGTACAACCTAGCTACCCATAAAATTGCTATAAATAAATTCAAAAACTTGATGTATAAGGTAGGAAAATTAACTTGAAATAGTTAATCACAATACCTGTAAATCTACATTGTCCAGGGATGCGTAGCGGAACATTTATTAAGTTTTTAACTTAATATATGCAAGTCTAATAAACCATTTAACATTTGAAGCAATATCAGCATAATTGGTTTATAGGTTATATCTAAGAAAAAAATTTTGTTTTATTACTCTGAGGTTATATACAATTAATTTTATCATTTCTTGAATTTTACTTTGAAATAAGGAGCTGTAGGATTAGTTTGTTTACGTTGTATCTTTGACTATTAATACAACTTCTGCATCCAATAGTCAATGGTTGTATCAAACCCCATTCTTTAAAATATTTTTATAAATATATAATAATGTTTTAATAAATATATAATAATAATAAACAATAATAAATTAATAAATAATATTTAATAATAATAATTGATTTTTGTTTACTTTGAAAATGGCCTTAGAGCCGAAACTAGTCAGTAAATATTTTAATAAATAATTTTACTTGGGTACTAAGTTTATTAATGTTTAATATTTATTATAAATAATAATATTTTAATATTTTTTAAATATTACAAATTTCATTTTTAATATTAGAAAAACGTTTCAGTAGATACAATATTTTTTCAGCTGTGAGTACCAAAAAAAGGGTTACGTTGGGAATTCCAACAGGGTATTGGAGTTGGCGAGGTAAGCAACCAATTTACAAAACGAACACCTTTTGCCTCGAGAGAGTTACCCAGGGATATCCTTAAGCATGTGAAACAAACATGTAATACCATAGGGATGTGAATAAAAGTTGGTCACAGAATTTGAGCATTGTTTTGTATAGAAGGTATTCCACTAGAAGATTTGTATTTATGAATGAGTTACAATAGTCAGTTTTCTAACGAAGCTTATGTTAATCTAAATTTCAAAGAAAAGTTTATAAATATTACAAATTTTATTCAATTTAATTATTTTTTATTTAATTTAAGTACATATATGTCCGGTATATATATTATATAGCCTATTTATTTAGATTAGTGGCATTACAATTGCAAGCTAAATACGTTGTATAACACTTAAAACAAAATGTATTTACACTTAGACTGATAAAAAGTATCCCAAAATACACATGAAGAATGAACCGATTAAACCTTAAATTCATAACTTTCTCATACTTACAATATTTATTAATTGTGTGTAAGTAAGTTTAACAAAGATGTATAATTAGATAGTATAAAATGAAGGAAAGGTTATGAATTTGTTGTACGTGTAAAGAACATCGATATAGACATGAACACTGAGCAAGTATTAGGTTAGTCCCATTTCATATATCACATACACCAATATAACTGTTTTATTGTACTATTTTATTTACTTTTCGTAAATGTGACAATATGTAGAAGAAAGAAATCTTATTTGAATGCTGTAATATAATCCCTCGCTGGCTAGGAAAAATGCAACAGTCTGCTCATCATTGTAAGTTTTTATTGTCCATTGATTGTAAACTATTTTGAAATCAAACTCTTCCCACATCAAAGTGCATTGTTATGTTCTGCTTTACTACAATAGAACACTGTTCTTATTAAAAATTACACAATTAGAGAGTTTTAACTAACTTTCTTTTATTTTACTACAGGGATTCCTTACTTGTGTTGTAACCGCATTGCAACACAAACTTTAAACTAACAAATTTAAAATTAAAGTTGATTAGACTTTTTATAGCAAACATTTTATTTATAAATTTGGAGTGGACTTGCAGGATTTTATTACATTAAGCATAATTGAATGTCAATAAAATATTTTGGAGATATAGCCTCTGGATTGTTATTTAACATGATTAAATCTAAGGCTTACCTTACGATCCAATTTATATTATAAATTGGATCGTAAGGCAAGCCTTAGATTTAATCATGTTCAATAAAATATGTACACCTTCAATAAGTACAAACGAGATATCGTCAAGTTTTGCTAATGGAGTAAATTATTCTTAGGATGATTCAGTTTACACAGCTTCATGAAATATGTACCCAAGTATGTGTTTGAAAACGTTTACAAAATTCATAATTTAAAAATGGCATTACTTAATGTACAAAAATGTTATTTACCGAACGCTTACATTTTTTTGTTTGATTTCAATCAGCCATCTGCCAAATCAACACCTTTTTTAATGTTTACACAGATAAAATAAATAAAATAGAAGCATTGAGAATGTTCCTTTTCCTCGCTATGGAGACCTACGATTATTAACTATTAAAATACTGCAAAAGGCTTTTAAGACCTGGAACAGGGTTCTAATTAAGAATACTATAACGGCTACACTCCTATCCAAATCTTCCATAACACGTCCCTTTGATTGCAACTGAATCAGATCAACACACTTAATATTGTAGATGGACAGACAAGCACGACCTAATTTTCATAATATGATAAAGAGAAAGTGAAATAACCGACTCAAATTACTTATGACAAACACTACTACGTATGACAGTTCATTACCTCCTTGGGGTGTGGGCGCAGGTCCGGGGGAGGTTTTATGCCCACTACATACTCAGGGGGAGGGGGTTGGTCCTCCCTGCTCTCCTGCATGGTCAACAACCTTCTGTTCTCCAGTTTCCACGAGATGGCTGTGTAGCTCTCGAAAAACGACCCGTCCGTCTCCTGGACCCTGGAAAGTGTATTGGGTTTAGTTCATACTAGGCCCCTTGCTATTTTTAATATTTATTAATGACTTACCTGGAAATGTATCGTCTAACCTTATCTTATATGCTGATGACACTACAGCAATAGTTAAATCAAATAATTTGCAAAATCTTAAACAAGAAATCAGTCTTTCTATTCTTAATTTATCTAATTGGTTTACAGCCAACGGGCTAAAACTTAATAATTCTAAAACACAGGTGATGTTATTTCAAACAATTCAGAATAGGCAAAACTCCACTGTTGAATTATCTTATGATAATAATATTTTATCCTTTACTGAAAATGCAAGATTTTTGGGTTTAGATATCGATAAGAATTTAACATGGAAAACACACATAAAAATGGTAGTTGGTAAATTAAATACGGCTTGCTTTCAAATGTATGTTTTGAGAAATGTAATAGATTTAAAAACTAGACTCACAGTGTACTATGCAATGTTCTTTTCTGTCTTGCAATACGGGATTGAATTATGGGGAGCAACTTCTTATTCTAAAGCAGTTTTCAAAATTCAGAAGAAATTTATAAGGATTTTATCATTTATGCCTAAAAGAACCTCATGCAGAGCTTTATTTGCTAAATTTGAGATATCAACTTTGCCTTCACTTTATATATTTAAAATTATGGTGAATTTTAAAATGAATTATCAAATGTACAATGATAAACAAATCAGTCATCCATATCTTACTTGCTCAAAAAATTTTCAATATCCAAGACATTGCCTTTGTTTATATGAAAGATCTCCTTATTATATGGGATTAAGGCTTTACAACAGTCTACCCAATAATTTCAAAGAAATTAACAGTATTTCAAAATTTAAAAATGATTTCAAACGATACCTTTTACAGAAAAATTATTATAATATTTCCGATTATTTAAATGATAAGTAAATATATTTTAGTTTAAGCTATGTGGATTTTAGTTTTGTTATGTAACTTAGTGTTTAAGATCTCTGACAATATCACCTGTTTCACCAGCTAACGCTGGATCTGTGAAATGTTTTTGTGATGATAAAGTAATATTTCATTTCATTTCATTTCATTTCTACTGTTTCCATCAAAAACTACTATAGTGTCATCCACATATCTAGAGTAAAATAGGATCTTCTTGCTGTATGGTTTTTTACCAGATAGGATGTGCTTATTTCCTATGTGGTTGAGATAAATTTCTGATATGATTCCTGATAACGGTGAGCCCATTGCTAGACCGTCAGGTTGTGAGTAAACCTTGTCATAAAAAGTGAAATAATTTTGCTCAAGGGTCAGATTTAACAAATTCATGAGTTCGTTTTTTGCTTCAGTACTTAATGTAGAATTATTTGCGAGATTGTTGTCAATAATATCCAAAGTTTCTTTGATAGGTACATTTGTATATAAGTTTACAATATCAAAGGACACCAATGTGTGATGACTTTTTACTTGCATAGGTTTTGTTTTTTCGATTAATTCTAGATTATTCTTCACACTGTGAATATGGCCAAAAGTGTAATTTTCTCTCAGAATTTTGTCAAGTTTTTTTGCCAATTTATATGATGGAGCTGACATAAAATTTACCAGGAGCCTTATCGGAATGTTCTCTTTATGTATTTTGGGCAAAGGTTAGGTGCTGACGGATTCATTATTTTTTGAGCTTTTATTTCATCTGGGCTTAGAAGAGTTTTGCTCTTATTAATAACATGATTTATTACGGTACTATATTTCACAGTAGGGACTTTTTCGATTTCTAAAATATTATTTGATAAGATAAAATTATTCACTTTCTCAATGTAGTCTTCTTTATAAAGTACCACGAGTGTGTTTCCTTTGTCTGCTTTAGTTCTAAGAGCATTGTTCTCATTAAGTTTAATCCTAATACTGTTAAGAGCCTTTTGTTCACCATTTTGTTTTATGGTTGTTGATGTGTTCTTTTTCTGCATAGTTTTAATTTTCTTATTTACTATGGCACGGAGGTAAGTTCTTTCATCAGAGTTAGGTATTAATTTGATGGCGGTTTCAGCAGAAATAAGTTCCTCAAAAATTCCCTTTTTATTGTTTTTTGAAAAATTGTATTTGTATTGAAATTTTTTTTAAACCATTTATTAAAAACTCACTATGGTTTGTTCAAAAAAACTTTCACTTGATGTGGTGCAGTACCGAAGTTATTAATCTCCCTTGGTTAAAATTTTTTTAGTTTTCGAAAATCAAATTTATTAATAGCATTATTTGTAAGCAACTTTTAATTTTAACATATTAATGACAGTTTGAAGAAACCACCTTTGTCCAAACAAAGGTTTCTTGTTTAAAAGATTACGTAGTCTCTAAACGATAATCGGTACATATATCTAGCAAACATTTGGAGGAAATGTGACGAAAAAACGCACATATCTGGGGTTTTGGACGTTTATAGTTTTACTTCCTAAGTAGGAAAAGTACTGATATCATTGTCGAAATGTAAGTAAGTAGAAACTAAAAGTGACACATTGGAAAAGCGAGTTTAGCTACAAGATGTAAGTTAAACCTCTGCTACGATCACATCGAAATCAGAAAGATCTTCCAAGATCGCAGCAACATCCACGATCACCCACTGCAGTAGTGATTTTTTACTTTGCACTTTACACAACTGTCCTTGAAGCGCCGTTAATGAGTGGAAACCTTTTTTGTAAGCTATTGGTGATGATGATTAAAAAATGTAAATTTCACAGCACTAATACAACACTGATTCACGATATTTTCCCCGGTTATAAAAATTTAAGAACAATCGTTGCACTTGCGATTAATCAAACCGGTTAAGTAAGGCACAACGTTTTAATCTCACTTGGTTTGGATGTGCTAACAAAACTTGATCGAAAATGGTTGCGGTATTTGTAAACAACTTTTAATGTAAACATATCAGTGACAGCTAGAAGTGAAAACTAATCCAAAAAGCTGATCGTTATTTCATAAAATGTACTATTACATTAGGACGAACATTAGGAGAAAACTTGACAAAAATCGAACAAAATTGGGTTTTTGATGGTTTGTTATTTTGTTTTCAAAGAAGCGAGGCCATGTTTTTATAGCCAAAGACACTCTCACCAATCCAGTAAATACAGAAAAATGATTAGAACCTTGATCGGTACACTAGCTTTCTAGGAGTAGGCCGCGTAAAATGACATTTTGGCATCACAGACGGAATGACAGAATGGACAAACAGACAGACAGACAGAAATTGAGATAAGACTCGTTTCGGCTTTCTTAGACTACGAAATGTAAAAATAACCAAAAACTGTATGATTCTAAGCAATGTACAGACAAAACTGTAATTTTATTTATATAGATTTTGCCACTGCACTGTAAGTGATTTGTTAAAAGCACATGTTACAATTCATTTATTTACATTTTGGTAAAACTTTCTTGGCTTGCTTACCATAAGACCAATGTTAAAAATATTAAAATTTCATAAAGTTGAAAAACTAATTTTCCCAGAACAGTGGCTAGCATGGTTATTTTAGCCTGAAACTAAGATATTCCAAACAGTTTAGAGGAAATCATAGGAGCCGATTTTGAAATCATTGTGGACAAACGTTACTCGTATTATAGTATAGATAGTGTTAAGGGGGCAATAAATCAAACTAATAAATATGGAACTGAAAAGCAGTTTAATAAACTTTTGTAAATGTTTACAAACCTTTTTACTCAGCTGAAACGTTTGTCATTAAATTCACATAGAGAACCAAAACCAAACCATATACTTTTCTTGGTAGCTTTCTTGAACAGTTCATTGAAAATGTTCTGGAAGTTTTTTGAATTGTAGATTTTGTCTACTACTCCCTTAAGATACTTCCGATGATCATCAATCATTTCCCCCTTACCTATAGCTTTATCAAATTGAGATAAATCAAAATCACTGGATGGTGTACTATCATCCCAGAAAAGATTACATTCAAACTTATCTTTTGATTTTTTTACTATCTGAAACTTGAATGCTCTCATCTTAATTTCAATTTTAAGTTTTTTAGTAGAAAAAATGTCTCTACCAGCCCAATTATTGCAGCAAGACACAAAATTAAATTTTCTTTCTTCTTTTGTTATAATGTTGAAGTGATCAAACACCAAATCTACCTCTTTCAATTCAATTTTTTTCAGGTAAAGCTTATTGTCTGAAATAGAAGAATACCACGCAAGATTACAATGTCCAATTGCTACAGTCCATTGTAAAACGCACCCACAAGTATAAGATGTTTTGTCTGTGTCTAATTTGTATTCAATGGAACCCCAGAAACTTTTCTGATAGTCAAAAACTCTCCATATGTTTCCTGCAACCTCTTCAAGAACAGTTCTCTCATCTTCATACTCTGCGGTCACCACTTGTAGAAACACAGCCAATGTTAACATTGGGAAAACTAACATGTCCATGTCTAGCTCGTCCTATGTTGAATAAAGATTTCATACATAAACACAATATTTCAGAGGACTATCCAACAGAAAACACTAATGTTAAATGAATGTTTTCTGCCTAACTGTGCCATATGTTTTAATGCTACACATCTGTGTAAATATTACATCACTTAGTTGATGTTGACTCTACTTCGAAGCACAGTTAAAATTTTTATGGATATTAATTTTTAGCGAATTTTCCTTATAATCTAGCCCCCAGACTGATTCCATTTTCATTTTGAGGTGCTCAAAGGCTAAAAACACCTTCCGTTCAAATTCACATGTATTATACAAGGTGGAGCGCGGGAAATTGCTATTTTGAGTTGCAGGTGGTTGGCAGCACTGTTAGTCAAAAAGAGGCGGAAGTGGGCGATGATTGTTGTGACTGACCGGAAGTTTGTCTTCAGCTCATTTTGAGTTGCCATCATGGAGTGGACACGTGAGGAGCGTTCATTTTGTGTTGAAGCATATTTTTCAAATAACTACTCGATAATTGCAGTGCAACGTGCTTTCCGTTTGCGTTTCGCTGTTTCCCCACGCGGACGTGTTCCTGGACGGCAATCAGTTGTGAATT